GATAGAAATATGAAAAGGGGAAAAGTAACAACAACAACAAAAAACCTGCATCACTATGAACCCATGAATCTAAGGCCAATTAGCGAAAGGCCAACTAATAAATGTAGGAATGATGGAGTTTGAAAATCACCACTGTGCAACCACTGTGCAATAACTGGAATTCTTCAAATAATTTTAATTTTATTGTAAGACAATACTCTTATACAGAAGTACTATGAATAATTATTAGCCTTCAAAAATAAATTTACTTAGAAACTTATTTTGATGTCATTTTTCTTTACTTTCATCAGAACCATTTACTTAGTTCTCCCATCAGAAAATAGATGATTCTATTCTGATTGACTAAGAATGTATTTTAGAAGCACCCTAACTGGGCTGGGGTATGGCTCAGTGGTAGAGYGCTCACCTAGCATGCACGAGGCACTGGGTTTGATCCTCAGCACCACATAAATGTAAATTAAAGATACTGTGTCCACCTAAAACTTAAGAATAAATATTTTAAAAAAGCACCCTAACTTTCTAAATTATAGTTCAAAAATCTGGTTTTATTGAAGAACTAGCTAGATATATCTAAAAGTCTTGCTGGCCATCATAACACCACATGTTATTCTAATAATTTATTTATGTGTATACTTTCCATTCTAGAAAATAAGCTCCTCAAGGAACAAAACAGATTTTATTAATCTGTGTAGCCCTAGCACCTGGCACAATATTTGGCATCAATATACAATATATATTTGTTGAATAAAAGTATAAAGCATCATTTAATTTGTTTTCTCAAAATTTGATCATTACTAATCTGGAGATCATAAACTGATACCTAATCTTTCCTGTACTGTACGTATCAAAGACCTAGGAAAAAACCAAGCATCAGAAGTAACCAAGCCTAAGAGACATTTATACATGTTTTGTTGATAGTATCAAGTAATAGTTTAAATAATCCACTTTTCCCCACACTTTTAATTCCATGGGCTACTCAAAATTCTGTGAAAAGGGGTGGGGAGACGGGATTTGAACAGTCATTAAATATGTTTGGGAAAATGCTGAAAATCACAAGTTGAATAGGACTCAAGAATTTAAGTAACCCAATGATCTTCAACAGGGGATTATGTGGCTCTCTAGGGAACATCTGGCAATGTCTAGAGACACTTTAATTATGACAAATACTGATGAGAGGGATGCTCGTGCACATCCCATAATGCATAGGACAGCCTCTACCACAAAGAATTACCCAACCCAAATGTCAATAGTGTTTAGGTTGAGAAACCCTGAAGTAATCTAATGTATTAAACTTCTTTTGGCAGTAAAAGACTCAATATAGACCTATTTAACTTTAAGGCAAAAAAAGGGATTTATGGGAGGAATACTAGTGTATCTCCCAAATAATAAAATTCACCAAGGCTTCAGGATAACTAGAAGAAATGAAAAGACAAATGGAACTCTCTCACTTCTCTTGTCTCCGGTTATGGCTTCTTTCTGACACACTCCTGCAAACCTGTTTCTTCTATGTGGTGAAGAACATGGCTCCCACTAACAGCTTTGCTTGAAGATCATTATCTGAGAAACAGTCACACTCTTCCTTTTTACAACTCTATAAATCCTGCAGAATAACTAATTGACTGGGTTTTGTGAGTGGGTATAGGCCAGATGCCCATCCCTGGATAAAATCAACAGTTCAGGGAGTGAAGTCATGTTGAAATTTTGTAGTCTGGCAATAAAGGGCCACATTACTAGAATGGGATGAAGAGTAATTTTAAAATTACCAGTGAGTTTCTTTTTATGAAAAGAAGTTTAAAATAGTGCAATTTATCAATTTTCCCATGAAAAGCTGTCTTACATTTTCCTCTAAAATTTTTACTCTTTGTACCTTTCATATTCATACCTACAATGCATCCAGAATTGATTTTTATGTGTAGTATGAGGTGAGAGTCCAGATCCAATTTCCCCCACATTATTAGTCAATTGACTAATGGTATCTTTTATGGGAGATATCAGATATTTAGGCAAAAAACAAACAAACAAACAAAAACCTCTTGTAGAGAAAGGAACATATATAGAGTAACCCATCTAAATAACATTATTATTTAAAACATCTTACTTCCTTAATTTTCATCTAATGTTATGGAACATCCTTAAAGGACCTCTTTTTATCTGAACAGACTGACTTTGAGAGGAAGATATGGTATCGAATGTTGTACCAAAGAAGTTCTCATAATAAAATGGCATTCCTATTATACATGGGTTTCTCCTGAGATTGATTTAGCACTGGTTAATCTTTTATGCCTCAGTTTCTAAATATGTACACTGAGGACCAAATACCATATCAATAATGATTCAAAGGCACTGAAGCCTCATGAACATCTAGAAATAGGTACCTTGCTTCTTTTTTTTCCATTTTTCTTGCTTACATGATATTTTGCAGAGGAAAAAAATATGAATAGGAATACTACAAAAACAAAACACAAAATGTTATGATCATTTAAAACTATCTCATAAATTTAGTTTAATTTCAGATTTTTTTTAAAAATTCAGGTCTTGGCTGAGCATGGTGGTACATGCCTGTAATCCCAGAGGCTTGGGAGGCTAAGGTAGGAGGATCACAAATTCAAAGCCTAAGGTGCAAAGCAATAAGGTCGGACCCTATCTCTAAATAAAATACAAAAAAAAAGGTTGGGGATRTGTGAGTGCTCCTGAGTTCAATCCCCAATACCTCCCCTTCAAATCAAGCCTTTAGAGAGGTTTTTAAAAATAATAATAATAAAAAATTCAGAACAGTAGGAAAAGAACCCATTGCTAAAATTAACTCCTTGACAAGGTCTCAATAATATTATTTAAAAAATGAAAAAAATTAAAATGTATTTTATATATTTAAGAAAATCTGATTATATTTAAATTCACTAATTCTAATACCAAATCACAGAATTATCAATATACATAAGTAATGGGGATTTTTGAAACAAATACTGAAATAAAAAAATAAAATAAATAGAAATTGCTAAGTGATCCATAACCAAGGTTCTTCCCTTGGTATCTGAAAGCACACTTCCATTAAAACTATTAAAAAAAATTCAAGTTCTAGGCAAATTGATGAGTTCAGAAGAAGAAAGAAATGGAAGCAAACTATAAAAAGCTGGAACAGTTTAAGTAGAGCGATTCAGGAAGGAATTCAGCAGGCAGGTTTAGCTTGCTTACATGGTATAATCACTTTTGTCCAGAGACACTTCCTCTTTCACTGCATTCTTTTACTTCTAAGTTCTTTATATTTTATATAATTGTATCAGAAATCCATTTGGTTTGCCAGGCAACAGTTTTCAAATACAATATTATCCCTTGTTCATAACTGCTACTTGCTTTCACTGTATATCCTTTTGTACAACTTTTTGTTATGTACATATGTTGCCTACTTTTCAAAAGAATAAATAATTTAAATAAAAAACAAAGCTTTCCTCTTAATAGCTAGTGGAGATCAGTTTCACTGAGGAAATGAGAACTTTTGAGTTAGGGAAGACGAGTGGTAATTTATAACAAAAATATTTGTGGGGTATGGAAGATGGGAAGATGAAAATAGTTGGAGCCGGTGAGAACATGGCTAGGAAAACAATTTCTAAAAGCAAAAGAGGTATAAAGAGGTATCATGATAGATGTAGTAGATTCCAAACAATGAAACTTCTCTGAAGAGACTCTTTCCTTCATCCATATAATAGTTTAATTGGCATTCAGTATTCATGTCTTTTAATCTAGACTTCTACTGATTAATACTATAGTTCAATTACATTATAAAGTAAATAGACTTGTGATCTTACCTGGGGTTATAACTACAAATTATAATACTCTTCATGGAAAATGCATCTGAGTCCCACACAAATGACTGAGAAAACATTTTTAAACATAATGAATTTATAAGTTGAGGAAGGCTTATTAACTTACATTATAAGACCAGGAGCTCCTAGTTAGAAAAACTTTATTTTCCCCATCTTCACCCTACTGTCTCCATCATAAGGAATGGCATTGAAATGGTAAATGAGTTGAACATATGAACTACTTTGACATTTTAATCTCCTGTTCTGCTTACTTCAATCTTTCCAGGAAAATATAAATATAATTTCCAGGGTACACAGGCAACAGTCTTCTGCAGCCTTCATTCAAAGGTACCACTGGCAGGCCAATATTAAAATAGTTGGTTGCTGGCATGTAAAGGTTCTGAATTCCTCTAGATCCTCACTCTACCAGCTTCACTGTATTCCTAGCTCCATCTTGAACCAGCTATGTGTTTAGCATTCTGTTCCCAAACAATTTATTACTTCTCTGTACACGTAAATTTGAAATGGGYGTTTTCCTTAGTTTTACCCTAAACTGGTGTATTATACATCAGTTGGCAGAATGGGGCTTGATAAGTATTAAAATTAAGGCATTATATATCACTATTCTATGAGCACCTCAAAACATATCACAAGTTTTTTTTTTTTTAAGGAAGAATACTTCATGAACATTGCATAATTTGGTAGATTTCATTCCTCATGCCCTCTCGTCCTTCACTCTTGATCYCACTCCTTTACTCTATTGGTTTCCCTTCTATTTTTGTGAGATTCCCTTTTTTTTAATTCCTCTCCCATTTGGAGAAATGAAATTTACCAAATTATGCAATGTCCATGTACAAATATACCACAATGAATCTCATATATAATTATAATGCACAAATCARTATATTAGTAATAGAAGGGAGATCAGTAGTGCACAGCAAGTAGATCAGGGGCAGGGAGGAGAGAAGGAAAAGACAAAGTACTGGGAAATGAGAGTGATCAAATTAAATTCTGTGTGTATATGAATTTGGCATAATAAATCCCACTATTATATATGATTATAATATAACCAATAAAAATTACCAAGACATTTATTACTATAAAAAAGAAAGAATCCTTCAGCTCAGGTATAAACTATTAATTTCTATAAATAAATGATTGCTCTTAAATTGTATGAAACCTCAAAAACAACAAACTTACGTATCATTGTCTTTTACTGTAGATTCCTTTCTTTCAGTTAAACTGAGGTGATTCAATTTTTTTCTCTTTCCTATATATATGAAATAAAGAAAAGAACAAAGTTGAGAGAGAAACTATCAATTTTTAAATAGAGTTTAGATTGCCAAATTTTAAGTAGAAAATAAAATTGTGGACAAATAAAAGGGAGATGAGAGCAGAAAGTGTCTTATTTTGGTTTTTCCATTTCCTATTCTCATAATTTTTTGTACATGATAACATTGTATTGGAAAAATAATCTTTTGAATAGAATTTCCATTGAGGTTTGATATATTAATAAGAAAACTATGTATATCCAATTTGATAATATAATTAGGTTAAAACAATACACTTTACTAAATAATGGATAAGTATTAATTAATACTAATAATTATTAGTATTATTAGTAGCTTAATACTAATAATTATTAGTATTAATTAATATTAATATTTCATGAAGTATTTTAATCAAAGATACCTTTTTTTTTTTAAGGTACTAGGGACTGAACCCAGAGGGTCTTAACGACTGAGCCACATCCCCAGACCTTTTGAGTTTTGCCAGATACCTACCATTTTTTTAAATATTTATTTTTTAGTTTTAGGTGGCACAATATCTTTATTTTATTTTTATGTGGTTCTGAGAATCGAACCCAGTGCCTCATGCCACATCCCCAGCCCCCCAGATACCTACCATTTTGTTAGTCTTTTCAAAGAACCAACAGTTGATTCTGTTGTTTTTCTTTATTATTGCTTTGTTTTTTATTTCAGTTTTTCCATTCATATTTTCACTATATCTTCTACTATTTTGGATTCATTCTGTTTTTCAACCTTTGCTAGCTGAAGCTTAGTTCATTAATTTTCAGCCTCCCTTTTTAAATATATGTATTTATAGGTTAAACTAAATTTTCTCCTAGGAAATGTGTTAGTATAATTTAGGAATAAGTTTTTCCAGTAGGAGCTGACATGTTTTCATTATCATTCAATTCTGAATATTTTATACTATTTTGATTTTTCTGATTAGCAAATTATTTAGAAACTTTTTGGTATCCAAACACATAAACTAAAACTTTTAAAGGCATGTCTTTTCATTATTGATTCCTAATATAGGAAATTTTGGTTTGAGAATGTAATCTTTTTGACAGCAATTATTTAAAAAAAWTTTTTATATTTATTTTTAGTTGTAGTTGGACAAACTGACACCTGTATTTCACTTATTTATTTTTATATGGTGCTGAGGATTGAACYCAGGGTCTTGCACGTGCCAGGCGCTCTAACRGTGAGCCACAACCCYAGCCCCAACAGCAATTTTTATAACAGTGAGACTTCCTCTGTGACTCCAAATTGGTTACACTTTTGTGAAAGTTCTATGTGTGCTTTTAAATATACTCGATATTATAACTGAGAAGTGTTCTCATTAGAATCAAACTTGCTAATTGTGTTTYGTTTATATCTTTCTTAACGTTTTTGCTTCATCAGTTTCTGAAAGACATAGTTTAAAATCTCCTACTATGATAAAATAACATTTAGAAGTATCACTCTTAAACTATAGTACAGCAGTACCTGAGTTATGTGCCCTTTAATTTATGCACATGATGGATAGCTTGTTAAGGGGTGTACCTGTAACTATTATAATTGATAGTAGCTGAAGGCAGTTAGGCCATAATTTCTATTTAATGGACAGAATAGTAAAGGAACAAAGTCTGCAGTAACATTTAAAAAAAAAAGTGCCTGGAAAGTTTACATTTATGCCCAAAGTAACACCTATATTCTATCTAGCGTTTTCTATGTTAAATTCTTTGAGAAAAGAGAAAAAATCAGTTTTAGCAAGATCCATATATTATTAAATAAAAATCCTGATTTAACCAGTAACTAGAAAAATCTTATCATAAATGGAAAAGAATGTTCAACTAACCATTTGATGGCCCATTTCCGGGCTCTTGTTCTTTAGAGCTTGTGGGAGAAGAAAATGGACTCATTTGACAAGTTCCAGTTGTTGGAGAATAAGCTGTAATACTTCTCTTCTTTGTGATTTTTGAAGGATCAAATGACTGGAAATAAATAATTTTGTAACAGAAATAATTACATTTAGTTATAGTTCTTTTAAAAACTCAGCAAATCAAATCAATACTGGTTTCCTTCCTCTGTCTTTTCAGAATTCAAATATACTCAGTTATCATTTTCAAAATGAAYGCTGTCCTTTCAAATTAGGTAGGTATTTCAGGTTTCTATAATAATTAGGGCATCTAAATTTGATATTTAGAAAATTTAATATTAAAGGGTTACTACTTTCTGAGATGATATTTTCTAAGGTTTAGAAATGACCGACTCATATAACCACATTCTCACTTTTAATTTCACTTGAACCTGAAATATAATAATGGGCCAGGCCAAGAAAACTCTTGGAGATGCTTATTACTAGACCTACAAGGAAATCCTAGGAAAGATCAGTACAGTCCTACATCTTTACACAGTTCTCTGACACAGTGTCTTGCCTTAATGATAAAGAAGATAATGTCTAAATAACTACATCCAACATTTTAAGACTTTTGAGAATTTGGCCTAAATTWTAAGATTCCTCTCTGAAGCTTCCTCCTTTGTATTTAGGAGTCTAAATCCAGGTAAAGTATTTTGATAACATTTTAATTTGTCTACTCCATCAGAATTTACTCCTAAAAATAAACATTTCTTCATCATTGAACACTAGGGAACTTAAAAACATATAAGGAATGAATGACTTAAAAGGAACTGTCCAGTAAACTCTGCCATACCACTCTACTTAAAATATACTCATTTGTTCATTGATTCATCCATCCAATATTCACTAGTACCTTTGCTTTCAGTTTAAATAGGTTAAACACATTCAAGTCTCAGATCATTCTATGATCTCAGCTTTGAATGTTCTCTTTCTTATCTTCTCCAAGACCCAGTCTTTCTTTAAGTCTCTACTCACAATCCACTTTCTCCAAACTCCATTATCATAGTACTAACTGCTCTCCTGAATGCCTCTAAAAACTTGCTTTCTATATTGCTAACTAATGAATATGAAGAAATATAATAACTGTTCTGGCCTCAATAAGCGTTTACCAAAGGCTAAATAGAGATAAGGCCTTAGTATGTATGCTTAGAGAAACTCAAAGAGCAAAAATCCAAGTGGGCTGTAGCATTCTGTTACAGAAAGCTTCTTTTGAGGGGGAAGGCTGAGGCTTAGATAAGTAAATATAAAAGACACGAAACATCTGAAATCAGAGGTGAAACAGCATAGGATGAAACTGGGGGATAAAGAAAAGGTTTGAAGGCTCAGAGGATGGCAACATTGTAGAACTAAACTTAGGAGCTGACTTAAAACAGATATGTATTCTTTATGGCCAAATAACCTCTATTTTTAGGACACATGGCAAAAATGGTGGCTGTKTCACCTTTTCCATTAATCTTCATATTATTGGTTTCAGAATCTACAGTATCAAAAAATTTTATAGTTGAAATTTTAAATGATAAATATCTCTGTGTTTTGGGGAATAAAAAGGCATTTCTTTCTTTAGTTTACATATCCACAATAGGCACAAATGTAACCAATATCCTTCTTAAAATATCAAACTATAATATGAAGTTATAATTCTATGGCAATCTTTTTCATGGGGTGAAAGGTTTTAAGTCTCTTTATCAGGTGGTTACCTCTCCATCTTTGAGTTTTCACCTGTTTATATGTATTCAGTCATAAACTATGACATTTATCCAAACCGTACTTTATTTTTCCAAGAATTTATTGCCCAGAACAATTTCACTGTGTATGTACAAGAAATGAAAGTCACTCCTCTAATGTACATTTATATCCATCTGTTTTCCTATTTTCACCATAAAATTATTTTATTCAATTGCCAAATGTCTAAACATTACAACTGTAGATAATACATTTCCTCTTGAAAATGGTTTTCTAGCTTTCAGAAAATAACTGCACGTACACATGTATGTATCTGCATCACTTTAGAAATAGTGAGTCTTCACTTTTTTCTATATTCCATGTTGGTTTTATTTTTTGGTCATTTGTGTTGGTTAAAAGGAACATGTCTGTCTACGATTACGATACATAGAGGAAAAATTGAAAAATCTATCTTTCCCTACTCTCCTACTAAATATTCTTCAGCAAATGATGTATTTTATGTTTGGTCCCTACTGGTATACACAAAGGTATAACAAAGTTTTTTTCCCCTCAAGGTTTTACCAAAATCTTCTAACTTTATATCTCTGAAGATGTTTAAAGTGATCCTAGAGTTCATCTAAGAATTTCATTTTGCCATCCTCCAAACTTCAAAGGACTTGGCTTACTTCTTAGTCTCCCATGACAGGGAGAATTAGAAGCCTAGGGTTGAGGAAGACTGAGCTGCTAACTGAGAAGCCAGCAGTCTTTCCACTAAGCAAGGATGAGTGCTACCAGACCCTTTGGAAAAACAGAAAGAAATGGAGAGAGGACCAGTTTTCTCCTAAAAAAGGGAAACCAATTCAAGATGTAAACAAAATTCAAGGAGACAGATGTCACAACCAATTCTATAATAATTTACAACTGCTTCTAATATTTACTGACTCAGTATTTTTAAAGTGAGGCAAATACATATATAAACAACTAAAAAACAACAATAACAATATGCCATGTTCTAAGATTCAGCCTATAATCAGCCCAAATAGCCTGGTACATTTTATAAAGAGGTCAAACTTATACATTAGTAAAACTAAAATTTGGGCATCGATTTTCCTGCCTTAAAAAAATTAATGTTCTCTTTATAATTTCAAATATGACATTCTACTTCAATATCCTTTACGAATTGTAGCTTGCTTCATCACCTTGTTTAAAGCATATTCTACCAAAAAGGTGCCTGCATTTTATTGATTTTTTACCTATTATAAACAGTCTAGAAAGTACTAACTAAGGGTTCTTTCACAGATGAAAAATGGGATATAAATGATCTGCTATTATTATAAATTACCAGTCTATGCTGTCACTGAAATATTTAAAATACAAGTACTGTAGGTATATGGATAACCAGAAACAAAAGGGCAGCGAAAGGGAGATAATTCTCAGTAACCTTAAACTGAACTTCTATATGAATGCACCACAGTAAATCTCAACATTATGTATATGCACAAGACTGGGATCCTAATTAGAATAAGATATATTCCATGTTGGTATAAATATATCAAAATAGATTCTACTGTCACGTATAACTAAAAAGAACAAAAAATTATTTAAAAAAATAACCTTATACTGGCTAATTAGGTTACTGGGAATGTCCCAACTAAGATATAATTATTATGCACTAATACTACTAATTATGTAATATTTGTTAGGCACTTTCATATTCTGGGTCTTGGGTTCCTGGAAAAGTAATAGATATCAACTAACTAATCAGCTGCCAAATTAATGGTTCTATAAGACATTAGGGTTTTGTTGCTGTTTTTGTGATGGCTACAGAGAACAGAGGCATTTTGCACTTATCTCAGAGATTTTACTATGATAGCAAGTAAAAAACATGTTAAATCTGTGGTAATGGAAATGCTCTATTTCTTGATTCAGTATTTGATACACAAGTTTACAYATTTGTAAAACTCACTGAATTATACACTATTTGTGAACTTAATGACATGTAAATTTCATCTTAGAATTTTCTCCTTTAACAGGAGAAAAAAGAGGAAAAACAAAACTGTGGCTAAAAAGTTTATACACTGGATTTTCTACTTCTGCTCATTATTTTTCCATAATGTTAAGATATTAAGTATTAATTTTAATATTAAAGATATTATTATTGTACTCTGCACTTTATTCTCAAGCTCTCCCCACTCTGCCCAGTACTAGGGTTAGAACCCAGGGGTGCTTAACCATTGAGCTACACCCCCTGCCCATTTTAAATTTTAAAAATTTTGAGTCAGGGTCTTGCTAAGTTGCCCAGGCTGGCCTTGAATTTGAGATCCTCCTGCCTCAGTCTCCTGAGTCGCTGGGATCATAGTCTTGTACCACTATGCTTGACCTCAAGAAGTTTATGAAAGTTTATCATGGCTATTGCCGATTGTGTTTTTACACATTATTTTATTTTTCAGAATATGAAGTAAATTCCACCCGGATATTTTTTTTGTTTACTGAAGTATGATTTATATACAATAAAATGTACAGATCTTCTTTAGCTTGATGAGTTCTGACAACTGTATACACTGATGCAACCACCACCTAAGATATATAACATTTTCATCATCCCAGAAGGGTTCCTTTGTATCCTCTTCCAAATCTCACTCATCAGCCTAGAGGTAATCACTTTTTAATTCCAATAACCACACATAGTTTTGCTTATTTTTGAACTTCATATAAATGAAGTATATAACTTCTGTGTTTGGCTTCTATTGCTTAACATGTTTTTGAGGTCATCTATTTTGTTGTACACGTTGGTAATGTGCTCTTTTTATTGTTAAGCAACATTYTTATTTTTTAAATATACTAGATTTGCTTTTCCATTTTTCTGTTTATGAATATATTCAGTTTGGAACTATTACAAATTAAGTTATAAGAATATTCTTGTACACATCTTTTGGTGATTTTATTTCTTTGATAGTAAGAAGTGAAATTTTGAGTTTATATTATGGTTTGGGTCTAATTTCACATATATAAAAAGAGTTAAAAAACAGTTCAAAATGTTTGTTTCATTTAAAACCCCCATCAATATATGAGCGTTTCAATTGTGCTACATTCTCACCAACCTTTAGTGGTTTTTGTTTCTTTTACTTATGTTACTGTGTTAACTAAAAAAGATTTTTWAAAAATTGTTTTGATACAGTTCATTAGCTATTCTAATCTGTGGGAATAGTAGTATCACTTTGTAACTTTAATTCATTTTTACTTTATTATTATTATTATTATTATTATTATTATTACTATTTGGTACTAAGGATTGAACCCAGGTGTGCTTACCCACTTAGCTACATCCCCAACCCTTTTTGTTTTTCATTTTGAGACAGGATCTCAACTAAGTTGCTCAGGGTCTGGCTTTGAATTTGTGATCCTCCTGCCTCAGCTGCCTAAGTCACTGGGATTACAGCTATGTGCCATCATGCCTGGCTTTAATTCATATTTTTGATGATTAATGTCATTGAACATTTTTTGCACTTTCATTTATTCATTTTAATTGATATATTCTGAACACAAGTCTTTTGCAATATATATACACATACACATACATAACAGATATTTTCTYCTCCATCCATGGCTCATCATTTTCTTAGTGTTGTCTTTTGGTTAGCAGAAAGTTCTAATTTTGATGAAGTCTATTTTATCAACTTTTATAGTTAGAATTTTTGGGGTCTTAAGAAGTTTTTGCCTACTCTAAGGTCACCAATATAGTTTCTTATGTTTTCTTCCAGAAGCTTTATGCTTTTGGCTTTATATCTATAATTGTTTTTGGGTGAATTTTTGTTTATGAAGTGAGACATTAAGTATAAATGAATTTTGTATAAAATGAGAATTTTTGTATATGAATTGAGGTTAATTTTTTCCATATAGATACCACTTATTAAAGACAGTCTTTCCACCCCCCTCAGTGAATTGACCCAATATTTAAAAATGTTTAATAAATTTAGACAACTGTTAAAAATAATATAAACCAAAACAGTACCAGAAATAAGAATTTCTAAAATAAAAATGACTCATGAAGTACTTAAACATTTATACTAAAGGGAAAACAGCTGTGGTATATGGAAAGAATACTAGATATGAAGTCAGAAAGCTTGGGCTCATTTAATGGTCTTGCTGCCTACTAGGTATGCTATCRTGGACATGCCACTCTTCTGAACTTTAATTTCCCCACTTAATGAATATATTCCCTCACTTAACTAGCAAAGAGTAGAAAAAGTAGGATGGGACAGGGAGTGGGCAGCTGGCACAGTCAGGTGTCTTRGGCCAGGATCTCTAACATCACCCTCTTTGTCTTTTGGTGGGGAAAGAAATAAGGCATGGGAATTTCAACCATGCTATTTCAAATATGAAAGAAGGTTTCTGTGGAAAATCTCTAAACCTGCATAATTTATGTGAGGCTCCACTCCCAAAACCTTTGGCTTTATAAAGTGTCTTGAGTAGGGAAGTGTTTTCTTTTTAAAGAAGGCATTAATAATGTTTTCTATGCCAGAATGAAAAAAACAAGCATGACACCAAACTAATGGCTCTAATTTTCAAGTCACTACATTCTGTGGGAGGGGATCTCTCAGGTAGATTAGAGAGGGCTTTTCCATGTGTCTTCTTATAAACCATTCTTGGGATAGGGAGCTGGGAACTGACCCAAGCAATGGGTGTGATGACAGGCAAAAAGGCATAGCTGGAACAGCTGCAGACCTGCAACTTCTAAGTTCACTCCATTTCCATTCCAGGCTACTATGATTCTTTTTGCTCCTTTGAATAATTTTGTCTTGGTTCCGCTTTCTTCAGGCGGCCACATGTACTAGATGTATACAAATCATGCATCTTGGGCACTTTAATTTTTTTTTCTTAATGTAAATATTTGTCTCATATTTTTGCCCATTGTAATCTAAGGTACTAATTTCTGTACTATGTTCTCAGGTACAGGAACAATCCCAGGGCAGCAGCTCCAAGTCTGCTTGAGCATTTAAGAGCATTTCAGATTTTGAATTCTCAGATTAGTGATGTTCAACGTGAATTAACCTTGTAGAAATAAAAGCAGTTATGAAAAGATACTATGAATGATTCTATTAATAAAGAATCTAGATCAAATGGACAAATTCTCAGAAATACACAACATGCTCAGATTGAATCATTGAAGAACTAGAAAAATGTGAATAGGTCAATAGCAAGTGAAGAATCTGAGTTAACATTCAAAGTTAATTTTTTAAAAGTACAGAACTGGATCAAATATAACAATGTAATTTTTCTAATGTAGGACATTAGTTGTGGCACTCATTACCTTGACACATTCTCATCTGAAGAAAAAATGGGTAGAAAGCCTGCCATGACAACAGTTGTGCTTCATGAAGAGAATGGATTCTGTAATGGTCATTCTTTTCTATTTAAATAATCGTTACCATCTCCCAAAGAACAGCTTTGGGGCAGGAAAGAAATGTATTTCATTTCAAGCTGGACTACTCATCTACCAAAATACCATTCTGACCAAAGAAACAGATGCAGAATTACAGTCACAGCTGCATTCTGCACAGAACAAGTTGGATAATGGTACTCTAAATTGCTAATTATACTGTTAATGATTTTTTTTAGTGTCATTGCAGTATTCTGCCACCTTTGTACAAAAATTTTTAAAAAGCATCTAGGAAGTTTTTAAAATGCTGAATTTTGTTTTGTTAAATACCAGTGAGTCTTTCAAAAGGAAATTCCACATAAAACCCATTTCTTGAAATGGCATTCTTGTATGAGATTTTGAACAGGTCCATTTATTGACTAGCTATTTGTCTTAATTTACTTTCTCACCAGTTTACTTGCATTGATGATTACTGAGGTCCTAAGTATTTCAGTATTAGTGTTTATATCTAGATCCATAGTTGATATGAAAAGATAATAAACTAGCATATGTCATAACATGCTGGCATTGGGAATGTGCTCTGAGTAGACTTACAAAAAGTAATAACAATAGTACAATTTTATTTTTATTGTGATAACTATGGTGAAATTTGTTACAATGTTAGTACTTTGTTGTTTAAGCCATATCATAATAGCTGAGGGAGATAATTACATTTGTGATGTGAGAATACTGCTAATGTTTTGATTTCACTTTAGATTATAGTATATAGATTAAAGTATTGTCATTCTTCCATATTGTTTCTTAACAACTTAAATGGCAGATTATTTTTTTCTAGAAACTAATTTCTAGTAATTWATTTTATTACGGTTTCTAAATAATTTACTTCTTAAGTAAATACCCCAACCTTGCCAGAAACTTAGATTTATTAAAAAAATCATAAAAATTTATAAAAACCATTTTATATGTAGAAAATGATATACCAATCACAACTGTGTCACATGGTTTCTTGATAATTTTTATATTTAGCAAGGTAAATAAGTGGATACAAATTAAAAACATAGTSTTAGGCAATCACAAATTCTTAATCAAATACTTACGTTTTCTTCTAGCTGATCATCCAATTTCAGTGATCTTTTAACACTGCAAAGGAAATATTTAAAGAAGTCTTAGATTTGACATATATAAAGAAGGCACATATTTAAAGGTAAGATATATAAGCAAAGATTATAGTTACTTTTACTAATTTTTATATTGCTTATTAAAGCATAATACCATATAAAGACAGCAATTATTTATGACTGTTTTTAATAGCATATTCAATATGGGATCATAATTAAATATTTAAAAGAACCATGTTTTTATATACATAATTTGACATACCTGCACTACCAATTTAAAATCATARTATTAAAAGTCTTAGAAAAATTAGTATATTTATCTGCTTTGAAAGACAAATTTGAAAAATAAATAATTTACATAAGAGCAAAATAATTTACATACCATCAATAGAGATGTTCAAAGTATATGATTTGTACTATGAAACAGAAATAGCCCATCATGTGTTAAAGGTATGAGCAAGGTGAAAAAAGTTTTGCACATTATTCTAGCATTAAACATGATTCAGTGCAACCAGACTATGACTTAACTGAGGAACAGATGCTCTATGTCTTTATAAGTCCCCAATCCATAAGAAACTATTTTTTGTTTCCTTCACTAAACTGATTCAGGAACATGCCAGGCTCTCTGTGTGCAAAATCTGTCCCGTTAAACTGGAAGCCCAGCTGTTGGTGACAATGCTTAGAAAGGAAAGCTGAATATTTATAATACTTTATTTCGTACAGCTGTCTTCTAAAGAGCAATCATCAACATTTTATTGAATGCAGACTAAATGCTCAAAGGAGAAAAAGGTCAATATAAATTAAACTAGCTTTCCCAGTGACAAATGCAGCATTAAAAGTACTTTCTTGATCCCTGAGAAACAGAAATTAAATTATTTGAACTATTAGAGGATTGGGATATTATGCAAAAGATTGTGTTGAATTACAGAACCCCCCAAATTTGTATAGATTCTAGAAGACAACTATTCAAAAATAACTGGTGATTCATAAACAACATATAGGAATAAAAAAATGAAAGAGATGGGTCAATCTAGGAAAATTATTGAGCAGTAAATAATAAATACAAAAATAAATATCTAAAGAAGGTTTACTTAATTTTGCTATTATATTTACATCATTCAATCACAACATTATTTCTTGAGACTAAATTATTTTAAATAATTGTATCTTTTAGAAGTCAATTTAAATTTGGYTTAGGGGCTGGGGATATAGCTCAGTGGTAAGAAACTTGTCTAGAATGTGTAAGATCCTGGGTTCAATTCCTAGCACTGAAAAAACAAACAAACAAACAAACAAAAACAATTTAACAAGTATTCTCAATGAAGTGAGAACACAGGTATTAGTAAATAAAAATGGCAAATCATTTAAAAAAGTATTTAGCTTTGGAATATATATATATATATATATATATATATATATATATATATATATATACCTATACCTATTTAGTACATGAGGTGTTCTGTTTTTCATAATATTTCAAAAGTATAATCAAAAACTAAAGTTACACAATGCAGAATTTTCTTATTATTTGGTTTTAAATGATGCTAAGATGCAGCATCTAAAAGATGTCCTTTTAGAAAAGAACACCCTGATACTAATTTTCAAAATATTATTTTATAATCAGTGGTTGATTTTTAAAGAAAGCAACACAGTGCTTGAACTTAAAAAGATTTCCAGATTAGGTCTTAGTRTTTTTAGAAAGCCCATGGAAAAATTATATAAAAGCAATAAGAAAGTGAGCTGAGTTAAAATAGGCTGTCATCTCCCTCTTTGTTTGGTGAGAAATCTAAAAACATGATTCATTCATTGAGGGTAATGTACAATTCAGATAACTGGGGCATTTAATAACCCAAAGTTGGTAATATTTATAAGTACCCTAAAAAGATTTAATAGGCAAAACTAGAAGAAATTTAAGAAATTGCTTAGTTTGTCTACAGGAAAAAGAATTTGTGAAACCTGTCTTCTGTCACAATCTCAGTCCTGTACATAGTAAATCTTTGTTGAATTGAGGGGAGGGAATTGAAAAACAGGTAAAGAAGGACAAATCTACCAGACGAATTTATGACCTTATTCTTACCATTCTATTAGAAATGAACCCTACTGAGATAACAATCATTAAAATAAGCACCTTTTATACACAGGCACTCCTCTACCCATGAACAATTATAATATAAGGATGAGATGATGCTACATGAATTAGGATGATGTTAATAAAAATATACGAGACAGAAAAAATATAAAGGAAGAATAAGCAAAAATTTGATTAAATATGAGAGAAATATTTTTCTAAAATATGTATTTCTTTCCTACCATTATTACTTAACAATTACAAGTGATATATTTCTGGTAGTCCTGTAAAGTTATATCTGGTTCCTGTGACTACTATCTTGGTTTAAAAAAATGGACACAAAAACATGGGGAAAGGACTTGAATTATACCTTTCTCCAAAGAAGATATACATACACACTACACACACACACACACACACACACACACACACACACACACACTAGTGGCCAAAAATCAACATGAAAAAATGCTCAACACATCCTTAATCCTTAGGGAAATATAACCCATGTTCACAAGGAGATGCCACTTCATGTCCATTAGCATGGCTATTATAAAAAAGAAAATATCAAAAGCTGTAAGGATATGGAGAAATCAGAACCTTTGTACACTGCTGACTGGAATGTTAAATGGTGCAGCAGCTATAGAAAACAATTGGYACTTCCTCAAAAAATTAAAATTAGAATTACCATATGATCCAGTAATTCCATATTCCAAAAGAATTAAAAGCCAGAACATGAGTAAATATTCATATAACAATATTCACAGAAGCATTGTTCACAGTAGCCAAAAGGCAGAAGCAATCCAATGTCCTGTGACAGATAAATGGATAAATAAAATGTATCATTCATACACACACACACACACACACACACACACACACACACAAGAATATATTATTAAGCCTTAAAAGTGAAAGGAAATTTGGCACATGCTACAACACAGATAAACTTTGAAGACACAACTCTAACTAAAATAAGCCAGTCATAAAAGAAAATATACTGCTTGATTTTACTCATATAAGAATAGTCAAATTCATAGATACAGAAAACAGAATGGAAGTTGCTAGGAGCCAGAGGAAGAGAGAAATAGGAAATTACTGTTAATGGGTGTAGTTTCAATTTTGCAAGATGAAAAAAGTTTTGAAGATGGCTGGTGGTGATGACTGCACAAAAATATAAATATACCTCCCTCTTAGGGGTAATCATACGTCATCTGTAGGTAACTTCTCACTCCAAGCTACCCAAATTTCCCTGTGCCCATAATTTAAATATTATATTCCATCTTTAGGCACACTAGGTTTAGACTGACTAAACCTACCAGAATTATTGTTGTTGGAATTCTCAAAAGAAACAAAAACATTTTGCATGCAATTTTATATCAAGAGGAGAGACAGTAACTCTCTTTGTAGAGCTACCATAAATTATTCGCTAAGAAGATCCTCCCCTTTTAAATTTAGCTTACTACATGGTAGTACCCTTAGTAAGATTCTCTGATTGATCAGAACAAATTGAGTAGAAAAGCTTTATGTTACTAACATCAATTTCAATATTAAAGAAATTATTCTAGGGGAAAAAAGCTATCATTTGATTCCTAACCAAGAACCAGAAATGAACTCTTAGAAGCTCACRAAATTATATGATTTGAGGTTCTTTTTTTTTAAATAGGAGTTTTAAAACATTAGATTAAACATGATTTTTGAGTGGCAAAGCTGAGAGTGGGAATAGGAAAGGCAGCAGAATACAACAGACACTAGTATGGCATTATGTAAAACAGTGGATGTGTAACCAATGTGATTCTGCAATCTGTATACGGGATAAAAATGGGAGTTCATAACCCACTTGAATCAAAGAGTGAAATATGATATGTCAAGAACTATGTAATGTTTTGAACAACCAACAATAAAAATTTAAAAAAAGGAATAGGGGGTGAAGAATAAACTTAGCAAAGCAGATAAGACTCAGGGAGCTTTGATGCTATGCCAAATTCTTCTGTAAGGTTGGGCAAATCACATAATCTCACTAAGCTTCATAAAGTTGATAATAATACTGGCCTGTAAAGTAGTAAGAAATTTCTGAGTGGAAGATAAAAATATCACTTAGTATTTCAGTGCTTCCATTTACTCCTCACTGTAATGGACACAATAATGTTGCCAGCTACTAACTTCACAAGAGTGTTTAGAGGATTATTGAGTATGATCATGAGATGCTTAGAAATCCTTTGATGAAAGGCAATGGCTAAATTCACATCCCATGTGACTTCTTAAGTATAAATTGAGATATATGAAATGATTTATTTTCCATTCCAAGTACAGGTAAAAACGGGAGAAGAATCTTCTATAACCTTTCTGTTTCATTCAAGTTTATGCTCCTTTATGTTCAATATTTCTAATGGTCACATAAAAAATCTCTACCATGGCATAAGTGAGGGCAACACCAACCTATTACATGCAAAAGTATGGTCACCATGTGAAGTATCTAAATAAATGATTAATCCTGTTATTTTTCATGACAAAAGTGTCCTGGGCAACATATGTTTATGATGTCAAAARATTAATGAAAAAAAAATTTTACAGAAGTCAAATTTAGGAATATTAACACCAGAGGATGAAAGATGAGATTTTTTTTTTTTGGTTGAATAAAATGAGAAATACAGTTAAGACTATTTTACTCCTGAATGGATATTCCTTAATATGCAATAAAATATTCATTAATATTCCTTCTGCAAAAAGTTTACATATACTATAGATAATTTGTACATGTAGATTATATGTACCTAAAAGTGAAGAAAGGATATAAGTTTGCCCTTTAGAGGAGTTTCCATTGAAAGGGCTCAACTAGGTCTAACAGAATTAAAACATGATAGATGGGTGATATTTTACGTACTTTTCTGTATGAATTTTTATTCTACAACATAAAAATAATCATAAAAAACTACTGCTAATGTCTACCC